CCCAAAACCCCACCTCGGGTTCATGATGACGGCCCGGGCTATCGCCACGCGCTGCTTCTGGCCGCCAGACAGCCGCACGCCGCGCTCCCCCACCACAGTCATGTAGCCCTGGGGGAACGCTCTAACAAAGTCGTGCGCGTTGGCCACGCGCGCCGCCGCGACGACCTGGGAAGTAGGGGTGTAGGTGGGCGGGAAGAGGATATGTGTATGCTCTTGGTCGGCTGGCAGTGCCGTGGACGGCATGCGTGCGTGCAGGCGGTGGCAGGGCGGCGGATGCGGCGCCTGCGGATGTGCGGGCCGGTGAGCTGTCGCTGGCCGCTGCGTGTGGCGAGTGCGCTCTGCTCACGACTGCCGGTGGGTGAGCCCGCCCGGGCACGCACGCACGCATGCATGTGCGCGCACACTAACACACATATACACAAATCTAAGGCGGACACCAACCTGAGCCATGGTGGGTGGCTCCGCGCAGCCAAAGGCAATGTTGTCGAAGATTGACTCAGCAAACAGCACCGGCTCCTGGCTGACCAGCGCAATCTGCGGGCAGATTCAATTGTACAAGAACCAAGAGGGCGTGTCCGCTGGGTCAACGTGCGGGAGGCGATCAAAGGGCAGTCAAAGGACGGGGCTACTGGCCCGTGGTTGGGAGGCCACCCAGGCAAGGGCTGTGCTGAGACGGCGCACGGCAAGTGCAATGAAGACAAGCTCCTGCCTCTCGGCCGCCACCGTCGCCCCCAACCCCTGCCTTCACTGCGCAAGGAAGATCAGCTTTCAAGGGGACAGACGCCAACAACGACCAGTCGCGGCACCGACCTGCTGGTGCAGGAACGCGTGGTCAATGGCGGTCAAAGGGGCGCCGTTGAGCGTCACCGCGCCCTTCAAAGGGTCGTAGAAGCGCTCGATCAGCGCCACGATGGTGCTCTTGCCGCCGCCGCTGGGGCCCACCAGGGCGACCTGGGAGGGAAGGCGGGGTGCAGCGCAGCCGAGGATGTGGAAAAGAGGGCCCGGGGCCCATGGCATTTGGAGCGCGGCGGCACGGCGCGCGGAGGCCGCCTGCGCCGCCACCTGAGACGTGGGGTCGGGGCCTGCGCCGCCACGCTGGGCTGTGAAGCGCTTTCAAACCTCACATTTTTTCACGGTGCCACGGCTGTCGGGCGTTTGAAAGCCCCCGCACCTTCTTGCCGGGTGCGACGTGCAGGTCTACCCCTCTCAGGACCCAGGTGGACGGCCGGGAGGGGTAGGCGAACCACACGCCCTCGAACCGCAGCTCTCCACCTTCGATAGGCCCTGTCGTCATGAGTGGCATTCAAACGGATGTGTGCAAACAGCGCTGACGGGGCAGGCAGGCGGCAGAGAGGGCGCATGCTATTGAGTCGGAGCTGAATCAGCGTGCTTGTTGGAGCCTACAAACATTGTGGTCGTGCCATTCTTTGAGTATGGAAACTGCAAATGGTGGACTTCTGACTTGGCTCTTCTCGAACTCCTGAAACCCGATGAAAGGTGTGGGTATGCCCGCTGCCCAGGCCAACTCACCCAGGGGCCGCAGCTCCCCGCTCGTGTCCATCTGGGGCCGTCTGTCCAGCAGCTGGAACACGCGCTCGCTGGCGCCCAGGGCCTGGCGTTGGTTGGATAACGCGGGGCGTGGGTTCATTCTGTATCGAAGGGGAGGCAGGGACCTCGACCGTTGGCAGGCATGGCGCGTCGCCGGCCAGCATGCATGGCACCCGCATCCACAGCCGCCCGTCGGTCCAGCCTTGCGATCGTGTTCCGCCAGCCGGCCACCCAAAGACCGGACCGCAACAAAGACCTTGCGGAAGGTCTTTGTTCCGGCAGAGGCCGCGGCAGCGGAAGCCCCATCTCATTTGCTGAGGCAACCTGCGGGCGTCCACCTGCATCACTTGGGAAAAGACGGCCATGAGGGAGCCGGCGTTGGCAGCCACGAACACCGCATACACCACAAATGCAGAGAGGCGCCCCGCCGTCATTCGGCCGTCGAGCACCAGGCGCGCCCCAAACCACAGGACCACCATGATGGAGCCTGCCGGATGGGAGGGGTTGGCGGGCTTGCGACGTGGGCGATAAGTGGGGAACGTACTTCGAGGGGGGCTTCAGGGCGGCGACCTTCAGTTGGCCCGATCCCATGCAGCTAGCTTGGCATGACCCTCGCGACAGTCCAAAACGCGTACTGGGTGCCCAGCGCCGGGTGCAGTACTCTACTCTACTCTATTCTATTCTACTCTACTCAGCTAGCTTGACTGGCGTGATGGGAGGCATTCTACTGAGCTGCGGCCTGCGGTTCGAGTCCTGACAGACGAAGAGCGGTTGACGAGGGCAGGCGGCCAGCGCCGCGCGGACGCGCGCCCCGTTACCATGCTCACTCAATGCCTGCAGAAGCCAGCACGTAATGACTTTTTGGCACTTCACCTGAAAAAGCACATGAACATGCACATGCACATGCTTCACAAGCACGCACATGATCCATAACACACAAACACTCACACCCTCCTGCACACAGAACACACACATACACACACATACACACACGATCACACGCATGCACGCACCCACAGTCACCCACCTGTGGCAAGGGACGAGTTGAGGGACAGGAAAGCGCCGTCCAGCGCCGCAGAGCGCATGCCGTAGCGCAGGGTTTCCTCCTGCGCCGCCTCGTAGCGCCCCTTCATGCCCACCTCCTTCGCAAAGGCGCGCACCTGGGTGCAGGGCAGTCATGATTGATGGGTGTGATTAGATGATCATTTCAGCAGCGCGCCTAGCTCTTGCTTAGGAGGGCGGTTTGCATGAACCAATGTAGCAGGCTCCCACACTTACGTGATGCGTTTGGTTTCTACATGAACCGAATAAGCTGATATGCATTGCTGGGCGGCAGGGCAGCAGGCGCTCGAGGTCCCCGATGCTGTCGCAGCCGCAGGCGTGCTGCCTGGCGGGCTCGGGGTGCCCTCACCGTGCGCAGGTTTGCGAAGCACTCTTCGGCAACAGTAGTTGCGCGTGCGCTGGCGCGCAGCTGCTCCTTAACGTACCGCTGGCTGGAGGGGCGG